CGCGCTGAGTGATGGTAAAAGGGACGCGTGGAGTGACGGTAAGAGGGACGTGTTGGGTGATGAGAGGGACGCGCTGAGTGACGGTAAGAGGGACGTGTTGGGTGATGAGAGGGACGCGCTGAGTGACGGTAAGAGGGACGTGTTGGGTGATGAGAGGGACGCGCTGAGTGACGGTAAGAGGGACGCGTGGAGTGACGGTAAGAGGGACGTGTTGGGTGATGAGAGGGACGCGCTGAGTGACGGTAAAAGGGACACACTGAATGACAGTAAGAGGGACGCGTGGAGTGACGGTAAGAGGGACGTGTTGGGTGATGAGAGGGACGCGCTGAGTGACGGTAAGAGGGACGCGTGGAGTGACGGTAAGAGGGACGTGTTGGGTGATGAGAGGGACGCGCTGAGTGACGGTAAAAGGGACACACTGAATGACAGTAAGAGGGACGTGTTGGGTGATGAGAGGGACGCGCTGAGTGACGGTAAGAGGGACGCATTGAATGACGGTAAGAGGGACGTGTTGGGTGATGAGAGGGACGCGCTGAGTGACGGTTAGAGGGACGCGTGGAGTGACGGTAAGAGGGACGTGTTGGGTGATGAGAGGGACGCGCTGAGTGACGGTAAAAGGGACGCATTGAGTGACGGTAAGAAGGACGCGTTGAGTGACGGTAAGAGGGATGTGTTGGGTGATGAGAGGGACGTGTTGGGTGACGGTGAGAGGAATGCGTTGGGTGATGAGAGGGACGTGTTGAGTGATGGTGAGAGGGACATGTTGGGTGATGAGAGGGACGTGTTGGGTGATGAGAGGGATGTGCTGGGTGATGCTGAGAGGGACGTGTTGGGTGATGAGAGGGACGTGTTGGGTGATGAGAGGGACGTGTTGAGTGATGAGAGGGACGTGTTGAGTGACGGTGAGAGGGACATGTTGGGTGATGAGAGGGACGTGTTGGGTGATGAGAGGGACGTGTTGGGTGATGAGAGGGATGTGCTGGGTGATGCTGAGAGGGACGTGTTGGGTGATGAGAGGGACGTGTTGGGTGATGAGAGGGATGTGCTGGGTGATGCTGAGAGGGACGTGTTGGGTGATGAGAGGGACGTGTTGGGTGATGAGAGGGACGTGTTGAGTGACGGTGAGAGGGACATGTTGGGTGATGAGAGGGACGTGTTGGGTGATGAGAGGGACGTGTTGAGTGACGGTGAGAGGGACATGTTGGGTGATGAGAGGGACGTGTTGGGTGATGAGAGGGACGTGTTGGGTGATGAGAGGGATGTGCTGGGTGATGCTGAGAGGGACGTGTTGGGTGATGAGAGGGACGTGTTGGGTGATGAGAGGGATGTGCTGGGTGATGCTGAGAGGGACATGTTGGGTGATGAGAGGGACGTGTTGGGTGATGAGAGGGATGTGCTGGGTGATGCTGAGAGGGACGTGTTGGGTGATGAGAGGGACATGTTGGGTGATGCTGAGAGGGACGTGTTGGGTGATGAGAGGGACATGTTGGGTGATGCTGAGAGGGACATGTTGGGTGATGAGAGGGACGTGCTGGGTGATGAGAGGGATGTGCTGGGTGATGCTGAGAGGGACGTGTTGGGTGATGAGAGGGATGTGCTGGGTGATGCTGAGAGGGACGTGTTGGGTGATGAGAGGGACATGTTGGGTGATGCTGAGAGGGACGTGTTGGGTGATGAGAGGGACATGTTGGGTGATGCTGAGAGGGACATGTTGGGTGATGAGAGGGACGTGCTGGGTGATGCTGAGAGGGATGTGCTAATTAATCAGCGGTGGTCAGAGTGCAGAGTAGCTAGTCTTCTAAACTAGCTGACAAGATGGATCAGAACAAATTTAAATAAGAGCTCTAAAGCCCAACTAAACGTAAATAAAGTTCATATTTACAAATTGTAGAGCTGGATTATATCAAAATACAGAACAAATAAGTGCTGCATTATTTTGGTATTTTTCTAAAAGTGGTGCATTCATGTCTTATTTCACTTCACAGAATATTTGGTGGGTTGCAGGACAAACACTACCTCTACACAGGGGTCCTGGCATGAGAAAGTTTGGGCACCCCTGGTGAACGTGTGCACAGCGGAGTGTGTCATTAGTATAACGTGGGTGCGTATCTCACCAGCATGCCGAGTTGTGTAGCGAGCACGGCGACATGGGCTTCCAGCTCCGGCTCCTTCTCTGCCTCTCTGAGAGCGCGAGCGGCCCGGGCATTACCCATATTCCCCAAACACACACGCGCCACGTCCAGCCGCCGACTCTTCACACACATCCGAGCCATGTTCTCCCACACCGCCTCGCTGAAACACACCCATAAACGCAAAGCAGTGACCAGTGTTAGTTTTTCTGATGGCTTCAGCACTTTTGTCCATTCTAAAGTCATATTCTCAAAACAAGGAATTTCATGTGATGCTAAACAGAGGTTTGCTGAATGACACACATTATGTGTAGTCAATGTGTAGTCAAGCCCCCACAAAACACTAAACACACACTACAAAAGCAAACTTTTCCATCAAACACTACAACTCACAAACAAGTAATCGGTAAATCCCTTCAATCACTCACTAAAATGAATGTGCCAACGTGTAAAAATACTGCAGAGTGATACCTAATCTGTGGTCATTTTACCAGAGATACATTTCAGCGCAATGTGCTGCAAATTCTTCTGCAAATTCTGTAAAGCAGCTGTGAGATTATTACTCTTTTCTGGATCTTTCTGTAAAGCAGATATTTTCTGGATCTCTCTGCAAAGCAGCAGTGAGATTATTACTTCTTTTCTATCTCGTTCTGTAAAACAGCTGTGGGATTATTACTCTTTTCTAGTTTTCTCTGTAAAAGAGCTTTCTGTAAAGCAGCTGTGAGATTATTACTTCTTTCCTAGCTCTTTCTGTAAAGCAGCTGTGAGAGTATTACTTCTAGATCTTTCCATAAAACAGCTGTTGGATTTCTACTCTTTTCTAGTTCTCTCTGTAAAGCAGCTGTGAGATTATTACTTCTTTTCTAGTTCTCTCTGTAAAGCAGCTGTGAAATTATTACTTCTAGATCTTACTGTAAAACAGCTGTTGGATTTCTACTCTTTTCTACTTCTCTCTGTAAAGCAGCTGTGAGATTATTAATCTTTTCTAGCTCTTTCTGTAAAGCAGCTGTGAGATTATTACTTCTAGATCTTTCTGTAAAACAGCTGTTGGATTTCTACTCTTTTCTAGTTCTCTCTGTAAAGCAGCTGTGAGATTATTAATCTTTTCTAGCTCTTTCTGTAAAGCAGCTGTGAGATTATTACTTCTAGATCTTTCTGTAAAACAGCTGTTGGATTTCTACTCTTTTCTAGTTCTCTCTGTAAAGCAGCTGTAAGATTATTACTAATTTCTAGCTCTCTCTGTAAAGCAGCTGTAAGATTATTACTAATTTCTAGATTTTTCTGTGAAGCAGCTGTGAGATCACTACTCTTTTCCAGCTCTGTCTCTCTCTTGGTGTAACTGCAGCTCGTTCCGGTTCATTACAGACCAGCTCCAGCTATGCATGGAATGAGCAGCTCTAAAGCTCTACACCCCTCCCCACTTTACCCCTGCATCACCCCTCTCTCACTCTCTCTCTCTCATATCACTAATACTCTCTCCCTCTTTCTACCCAAATTCCACACTCATCTGTTTTTAATTTAACCCAATAGCTCTCTCCTCCCAATTTCCCTCCCTGCCGCCCTCTTTCTCTCTCTCCCTCCTGCCCTCTTTCTCTCTCCCCCTCCCGCCCTCTTTCTCTCTCTCCCTCCATCACTCCCTCCCTCTCTCTCTCCTTCAGTAGATACAGATGTGGCTTGTTTATTAGAGTTAGGCAACAGGAAATTCCCCGAATCTTTAGAGGCCCTGAGCTACAGCAGGAAAAAACTAGCAAAACAAATGTGGGAGCACAAAAAAGCTTTCAATTACTCCCTTTTACTGGGAAAAAGAGACCAAATATAATACAGCATACCGCCTCAGAGAGAGAAAGAGGGAGACAGAGGGGCAGGCAGGATAGATAGATAGATAAAAAAATGTTGAAAGTGTTGGAAAGGCAAGGCCAATTCTATTGTTTTTGCTCTTCACTGAAGAAATTTGGGTTCGAGATTCTGAGATTTCAGCTTTTATTTCCTCATATTCACATCTAGATATGTTACTTAGAACATGGCAGCTTTTTCTTTGAACCCACCCATTTTTCAAGTGTACAAAATTACAGGCACATGTGACTGACAGGTGTTCCTTGTTGCCCAGGTGTTCCCTGTTAGATTAACTGTTTAAACAATTAATAGCTCTTAGCGTCTGTTCTTGATTTGAGCCCTGGGTTTCGCCTGTGAAGACTGTATTTGTTAAAAAAGGATAAACCGTCATGAAGAGCAGAGCTTTCTATAGGAGAAAAGCAAGTCATTTTGAAGCCAAGAAAAGAGGAATCAGTGATGTGAACAGCCAGTGTAACAATTTGGAATGTCCTGAAAAGGAGTTAAACCACTGGTGTCCTAACAACCAGACACTAAACAGGTCAGACAGGGAAAACAACAGCAGTTGATGACAGGAACATTGTGAGAGGTGTGAAGAAAGTCCCCAAAACAACATTCACCACCGACACCCTCCACGGGGCAGGGAAGAAGGTATCAACTGCCCACCGTTCGAAGACTTGGAGAGCAGAAATAAAGAGGCCACATCACGAGACGCAAACCAGTCACCAGCAGTAAGAACCGGATGGCCAGACTGGAACTTGCAAAGAAATACAGAGATGAGCCACAAAAGTCCAGAGTTTTATGGACTGATGAGACCAAGATTAACCTCCAGCCAGTATAATGGACAAAGAAAGGATCTGCTCATGATCTAAAACACACAAGGTCATCACTGATGAAAGAGAGAGAGAGAGAGAGACAGAGAGACACAGAGAGAGACAGAGAGGGGTGGTGTATTCTTTCTGTTTGTGTGTCTTCCTCTCAGGAAACACGTCCTGTTGCTGGAGTAACATGTTTGTCACAGAGAGAGAGAGAGAGAGAGAGAGAGAGAGAGAGGTTTGTGTGAGGAAGAGCCAGTTGAGCCTATGAGAATTCATATTTCAACAGGAAGGAGACAGAGAGAGACTGAGTGAATGAGAGAGAGAGAGAGAGAGAGAGAGGGAAAGAGAGAGAGAGAGAGAGAGAGAGAGAGAGAGAGAGAGAGAGAGAGCGGGTGTGATCCACATCAGATGGATTTCTGCCTCTGTTCTCTTCCAAAGGGAAACTAAGAGGAAAAGAAAAAAGTCCCCAACACCCCCCCACCACCAGAAACCCCAATACACAGCTGCAAGAGTGAGTGAGCGAGCCAGCGAGAGAGAGAGAGAGAGAGAGAGAGAGAGAGAGAGAGAGAGAGAGAGATTGCCTCGACGGGAACTAAACAGAGAGAGAACACAGCGAGACGGAGAGCGACCCAGAGTTGTGCAGGAACAGAGATGGAGAGGATTTGAAAGAGCGACGGAAGAAAGAGGATTTAAAAGAGGAGGGATATTAATAAAACTCATTGTATTTGGCTTAATAGGGTCAACGCTGCATCTGCAGACTGCCGGCCAGAGACAGGACATCGCAAACAAGTTAAAGAAGAGAAGGAACGTGAGGAAAGACGAAGAGAGTGTGTGTGTGATGGCCGTGGAGGTCCGCTGGACGACAGTGCATGTGTGTGCCGTCCCAGAGAGCGAGGAGGAAGGCTAAGGACCCCCTGAAACGCCTCAGTGCTCCAACAACACATACACGGACGAGAATGAGCGGAGATGTTCTCTAGCTGACCTCCTGCAGCGAACCAGCAGCATGGGTGTGTTTTAGGACTGGGCGATATGGATGGATAATATAACCACAACATATTTTTACATATCATTCAATATTGGTAGTTACTGATTTTTACATGTATTTCATAAGATTCACACTTAAACAACAGTATTTTAAACCCTGAAAAAAACAGAAGGCAGATTTGAGAAAGAAGTTACATCTGATTTTTTATCTCCTCTTGTTCTGAGACGTTTTTGACAAAACTCATGACCTTAGCATCTCGCTGTTGGGAGTGAACAGCTAGACTTCTTCTCCTCCTGCTTCTACAGCGTAGAAGTGTACTAGTGCACTGAAGAAGCGATTTGCTGCTACTATCGGATTCAAAAACAGATTGTCATTGTTTTAGTGAAAATACCTCAACTGCGCATTATGGATACTGCAAAAACATTTGATTTCAGTAATTATTATAAACTGTTTTGACGGCTGAGATTTTCAAGATGCCTTGAATCATTTCTTTGCAGTCAAATCGAATCGTTGAGGTCAAACCTAATCGTCGTTATCGTAGTATTGCCCAGGCCTTGTAAGTGAGTGGGCGCATGGCCGTGGGCAGGCTGGTGCTGGTGGCCGTGGCTGTGGCCTTGGCCTCCCTGCTGTTGAATGTCACAGCGGCTCTGGGCTCCGGCTGGGTCCTGCAGACGCTGGACGATGGACGCAAGCGCAGTGTCGGGCTCTGGAGGGTGTGTAACCATGCCAACAACGGCGACGGGGATACACAAGCTCAGATGCGCCCGCACACACCCTGCCATGCACTGGGCTGGGGGTCGGACTTCGCTGGGTACCAGGAGTCACGAAGCACCGTGAAACGTGAGTGTACAGGACTGTTTGTGGTTTTGTCGTTTTTCTAAATTTCTCAGAATTTCTCACCTGCCCAGATCAGGTAAACAGGGACACTGTCATAAAAAAAGCTTGTAACTATCCAAAATGATTCGGGGAAAAAAAACTTGCAGATTCACTGGTTATAATATCAGATGTTAAGAAAGTTATGAAGTTTCATGGTTTTCCTAAGAGAGTGACAATACATTTTGCTATTATAGTTGGCACAGTTCATTTGGTGCTGCTGTAACTCTGCAAATCCCTACAAGATTATTCAGAATAGTATCTGTCTAGAACAGTGGTTCTCAAACTGACCCTTAGGGCCCATTAGACGGTCTACATTTTTGGTCAAACCCAACTCTCAACACATAGGGATAGAGCAAAAGCATGGACCGTCAAGGGGGTCATCGTCCGTCAGTCCGTCAGTCAGTCTGTCTGTCTGTCTGTCTGTCTGTCTTTTATGCTAACAGTTAAACCCTGTCCAAGAAAATGTAAGAGATGTTCCAACTGGCCTTGCTTTGTGAAGCCCCTTTCACTCAGTGTTGACCCAGAGTTAATTTAAGTAAGGAAGGAAGCAAAGGGCAAGATAAAGTGATGTAATCAGGCACTGAGAAAGAGGTGCATTTAGACTGACTGGAAAAATGAATCATTTCTTGTTCTGTAAAACTAACCACAAGAAATCACACCATGATGTGTCCACTGTTGCTCAAGTCACTGTTCATGCAATTCCACTTCTTTACAAATGAGTACATCTACACACACCTTCAACTTATTAGAATTATTTTTTAACTTTCCTCTTAGTGAAGCAGGGCAGTGTCTTAATCATTGACCTACTGACCATTTTATTAGAAACACTTACCATGTAGGTCCACCTCGCTAGTATACAGTTAGAGACTGTAACCCAGGCACAGTAGTTAGAATGGTTAGAAACTTACAGATGACCTCATAAAATGGTCAATGGAAGTACAAGTAAGGGTTTCTAATAAAGTGGATAGAGAATGAACACCACTGGCCTGTGAGGGCAACAGCCAGCACGGTCCACCTTCCATGTGCACAGTGCCATCAGGCGCAACTTCTCCATCAGGGAACATACCGTGCACCCTGGGCGATGAGATTTTGTGAGGATGAATATGAACAGATATTTACTAAACCAGTCTCTTGCTGAGAAGATCAGATCTGCCAGATAATCTGTTTAGGATGGGGTAAAATAGAGTATCAGAAGCTTATGAAAAGTGGCAATACGCAAGAAAGTTGTTATGCCAAAAAGTAAAATGCAAAAGTGATAGAACACAAAGACAAGTCACAATACAAAATGTAAGAGGCAGTATGCAATACAAAGATGTGTTCACCAAAGAGCTAATGTAGAAGTAGCAGTATGCAAGATAAAATCATGGTACCCCAAGAGCAAAACACAGAAGGAAAAAAGTCAAGATGCTCCAAAAAGGAAAATGTAAAAGTGGCAGTATGCAAGAAAAAGTCATGGTATCCCAAAGAGCAAAATGCAGTAGCAGTATGCAAGAAAAAGTCATGGCACCCCAAAGAGCAAAACATAGAAGCAGCTGTATGCAAGAAAAAGTCATTGTACCACAAGCAGGAAAATGGAGAGTAGCATTACACAAAAAAGTTATAGAACCCCAAAGAAAAAAATCTAGAAGTAGCAGTATGTAAGATAATGTCGGGGTACTCCTCAAAGGGCAAAATGTAGAAGTAGAAGTACACAAGAAAAGGTCATGGTACCCCAAAGACCAAAATGTAGAAGTACACAAGAAAAGGTCACGGTACCCCAAAGACCAAAATGCAGAAATGCCTGTGCTGTGTTTTGTGATTACCAGCCTACTTCAAGCACTGCGGCTGGCCAAACACCCAACACTGAGACATGACCAGGCATAGGTTCCACAGGAAGGTAAAGCTACAGCTGGGATTCAAGTGTGAAACCCCACACTAGGACACCTGACCGAACTGCGCTGCTTTTACAGCAGGAGTCATGAATTCCGATTAACTGCACTAAACTGTGGAGCCTCCAGGACAAGAATAACTGACCGTTGATTTTTTGGGTGAGGCACCCAAAAGTAACAAAAGCTTTGAGGCCTGAGTTTGGTAAAGATGCTGGGTCGACTCTTGCGCATCATGCATCCTGGCACGTCCGTCCGTTCATCCAAATTTAGACACAGGAAACGGAAGGACATGGTGAGGGATCATGGGAAGTGACGCCCACATGGTACAGCTGCATCTGGGGCGGCACATCTGCCTTAGGACCCTATATAGACACAAACACCTGCCTTAGGATATCCCAGGATCCTGTGATTCAGATCCTCTGAGCACATATGTGCCTTAGGATATTTTCTGGCCCACTGCCATCGTTGCCAAGTATGTAGCAGTTTCACACTAGGATGCTAATATGATCTGCGTTTCAAAGCCTTAATTTCTTTACATTATCCACTTCTGAACTCAGTCCAGCTTGGCATTTTAAGTTTCAACACCTAATATTCCACTGATAATTTGTTTCTGACCACAGAACAGCAGGAGAAGCTCTAGATCTTTTTCTGATCTCAGGTCAATTTTCCATTTGTTTCAGCATGCCAATGATATATTAGCTTTAAAGTGCCAAATATGGATGACATAATCACTTCTTATTTCACGGCCGTTTTTCAGACTAGAAACAGAATCCTGGGACGACTTTGTTCCAAACAGGTTTCAGCATGGTCATTATTCATCCAGGAGTTGACTTTGATTTATCTAGTGGACCCCATTCTGTTGATGATAAAGGTGGAGTATGCCGATGCATGCTTCCAACCTCTGTTTTTGTAGACCGATGCTTTATAATCTCTCCGTTTGACCTCAGGTCAGCTTGCTGTCAGTATCTGCAATAGACTAACCCTCTCTGTTTCTGTCTCCAGTTCAGTTTGACATGATGCGGGCATGTAACCTGATGGCAACGGTGGCTCTGACTGTGGGTCAGCTGATCTTCCTGCTGGGGCTTCTGAAGATAAAACACATCACCCAGGATTCTCCGTGGTGGGAGGAGGCCATCGCTGCCCTGTTCCAGCTGGCCAGTGAGTACACACAAGCTCTAAAGGTTGACAGGCCCTGCACAGCAGCGTCCAACACAATAGGTGACCGTCTGAAACTGATCTGTGCAACATTTTTCTTGCGGGCACATCCTGAACCTTGTGGGGAGCAAAAGGCTGTTTAACATTAACTGATATCGTCTGTAGTTGCCTACAATCTAATTTTTAATCTAACATCATTTTTTGAATTTTTCAGAGGTTTGACAAAACATTTTATGAGCCTACAATTCTAACTTTTATCAGTGTACATTGCTGGTGTTCCACATTTTTGCTCTAGCTCCCAGTACACCTGTACCAGGTATTCAGTGTTCTTAAGGAGCCTTCAGGTGGAGAGGCTGGGCACACAATGTTGCTTTGCTCACCCCTAAATTTGAAAAGCATCCACCTGACACAGCGTATTCACATGTAGTTTCGGAAAATGTGTATCGCAGTTTAAAACAAAAATGGAAAATATTGTGAAACATGTCTGTACAGCGCCATACACAACTGTCTGTCTCACTGGCTATGCTTTGAAAAGGTCAGCAGCACACTGGGTCAAAGTTTGACATGGCAAAACTGAGTAGCAACTAGGCTAATGAAGCATCCGTAAAGGTGGTGTTAGGCCAGCTTTACACAGTGAAATTTCTATGCAACTAGTTGCAAGTTATTAGTTGCCTACAACACAATTTCCACACAACTTGACACGTTTTGACAGCTTGTATTTTTGATACACCATATTGTTCTGGCTTTAAAGTCATCTGGGAGGTGTAATTTTAATATGTTTGCAGCATTTTTATAATTTTTCTGTAATCACCATTCTAAATGTATATATATATATATATATGTTATTTATTTATCTGTCTAGGGTTGTTTACTATGTATTTAAGTTTTTTTATCTATTGTGTGTAAATTAAGCCCTTGAAAATGAATGTTTAAGTAGCCATTACGGTTATAGACTGTTTGATGTCTTGCTCATTCTGTCCTAGAAATACAAAAAGTTCATTATGGACCACATCTCGGTCTCCTCTTCTGTAATAATTTTCATTCTTTGGAACCCAAATGAATTTGTGCTCTGTGTAAAATTGGAGGGCTTCAAGAGAGGAGAAAATGATGCTACGTAGATTGCAATAACAGCAGGATAAAAAAGAATAAATGGTGGCACAAGCCTCGAGTTGGTCAGAGGAGGGGTCTCCTTTGCAACTGCCCAATAAACCATCTTCTGTTTTATTTTCTGTCCATTGATCCAGTGAACTCAGTCATTTAGAAGTATATCATTCACCATGATCAGGTGATGTGATCGTTTTTTTTTTGATCGGCTGCTTCATGAAACTTGTTTCACGAAGTTGAGATGCTTCCAACTGTTGCAGCTGAGTTTCAAATGAGTTGCAGGATGCTTTACAACATGCAGCTCGAGAGCAATTTAGTTTCATGTAGTTTTGAAGCAACTGTGTAAAGCCAGCCCTACCTTGTGATGAGTTAATGTTTAAAATATTGACTAAATAATTGTTAATGTTTACAAAAATGTAATTTTAGCCAGATTCCACAGACATGATGAGCATACTTTGGACACTGCATGCACATACTTCCAGACGACCGCTCTAAAGCAACAGGGTGGCCTGTACTGAACTCTCCAAAGCGCCAGAATGAATGCAAACTAAATTCAACACACATTATTGATACCTACATTCACATCAGCCAACACTTACAGTTCCACTCACAGCCACAGCACCAGAACCGAGCCAAACCAACAAGCAGCCTGATCCAACTCAACCAAACATGCACAGAACTCTTTGAAGAGGAGCTCCAACATACACACACTACTCTGCGGAGCTCATAGTTCCTCAAGTACGCAACACCAAAAACAACACCCACTCGCACGTAGCTCGCCTGCCTGTTTAAAGCCCAGCTGAGCCTCAGCCGACTCCTGCTGAGGGCCCGGGACAGTGCAGACACGAGAGAGGCTCTATTGAGTGTTCTGGGACAGAGTAACCTTTAAGAACTTTCTAAAACAGCAAACTTCTGCATTTGTAGAGAAGGTAGACCACCCACAACTCAAACAGGATGCTCAGAGGGAGGAAGACACCCTGTATCGGAACAGAACAGGAGCTTATCAGATCAAACCCCAACATTCTTAGAGAGACTTTTCACCACCGGCACCAGGAATAGGCTACTCGGAACGCGTGGGCGGGCCTATGAGTGTGTGTGGGCGATGGCCACACAGTTTCCCCATGCAGAGCCCTCAGATGAACACATATTTATGCAGACGTGTATTTGTTATGGATTAGTCTGCTATTCTGTTAGCATTTAGCATTTAAGAGTAAAGAGAAGTTGCAGTACAGGGGATCCAGCTAAGTTGGATCTGCACTAATTTCCCATCAGTGTCCATCAGCACATTTGCTTTCATTTTAAACTCACAGAAAAACCTTGTAGGTCCACCTTGCTAGTGTCCAGTTGGAGACAACTTGCTTTAGCTATCCTCTAGCACTTCATTAAAGGCTTCTGACCACAAAGCTGCTGGATATCCCCAGCAGCCCTGTGGTCAGACACCTGACTACTGATGAATGGGGTAGAAAGGGGGCTGATAAATTGTGCAGTGGACCGATACAGTAGGTGGAAGTCACAGGCCAGTTAGTGGAAGGACAAAGTAGGTGTTTCTAATAAAGTGGCCAGTTAGTGGAAATACATTGTTGGTGTTTTTAATAAAGCGGCCATTTAGTTGAAGTATAAAGTAGGTGTTTCTAGTAAATTGACCAGTGAGTGGAACTACAAAGTAGGGGTTTCTAATAAAGTGGCCAGTTAGTGGAAGTATTGAGTAGGTGTTTCTAATAAAGTGGCCAGTGAGTGGAAGTGTAAAGTAGGTGTTTCTAATAAAGTGGCCAGTGAGTGGAAGTATAAAGTAGGTGTTTCTAATAAAGTGGCCAGTGAGTGGAAGTATGAAGTAAGGGTTTCTAATAAAGTGGCCAGTGAGTGGAAGTATGAAGTAAGGGTTTCTAATAAAGTGGCCAGTGAGTGGAAGTATAAAGTAGGGGTTTCTAATGAAGTGGCCAGTGAGTGGAAGTATAGAGTAGGTGTTTCTAATAAAGTGGCCAGTGAGTGGAAGTGTAAATTAGGTGTTTCTAATAAAGTGGCCAGTGAGTGGAAGTATGAAGTAAGGGTTTCTAATAAAGTGACCAGTGAGTGGAAGTATGAAGTGAGGGTTTCTAATAAAGTGGCCAGTGAGTGGGAGTATAAAGTAAGGGTTTCTAATAAAGTGGCCAGTGAGTGGAAGTATAAAGTAAGGGTTTCTAATAAAGTGGCCAGTGAGTGGAAGTATAAAGTAAGGGTTTCTAATAAAGTGGCCAGTGAGTGGAAGTATAAAGTAAGGGTTTCTAATAAAGTTGTTTGCTATACAATTTAAAAATAATTGCACAATGAATTACATCATTATCACTTTCCATTTATAGTGACAGGTTTGAGTCTGCACTTTTTGCCAGTTTGTTTTGATGTCAATAAATGATGAAAATGGAAAAAATGTTTTTCTCTTCACAAAGAAAAAACCTCACACAACAAAAACCTTTCATTACACTGAAAGCACAATAAATCATCTCCTTCTACTTATAAACTCAAATGTGGTATGGACTGTAAGTTCAGAATCTGCACTTTCCACACTATTTCTCCTCCTGTTTCAGCTACGAGTCAGAAATAATCGTATAAAACCACAGCGTGACTCTGTTATCTCCGGTGTTGACTGTGTATAATGTAGGTTAGCATGTTATGAACCCTGCTGCGATTGTTTTCTGATCGTGTGTTTACTGTGCGAAGCTGCTGTATTAAGTGCGAGCTGAGTGTTTATTTGTATCAGCTGAGTGAGTTTAGCTGCTCAGTGTGGGAATATTAGTAGCATGGCAGTGTGTTGGTATATATTAATGTGCGTGTTTGTTATTGGTGTGTGTGGTTATATTTAGCAGTACGGAGGGAGCAGCGCGGCAGCGTCAGGCCAGTGTGTGTGTGTTAGCGTCAGGCAGGCGCCAGGATATCCCTGTTCTGCTGGGGGAAATGCCTGCCACTACCTGTTATGCAAACCCAGAGGAAGGAGAGGAGGGGGACAGGGACCGCAACACAGTTCAAATAACACACACACACACTTATAATAACACACAGTTAAATTAATTCAGACAGAAAACAGCTCCATACAACACCGCGTGTCTGTATGGGTTCATAGGACGGTAGTATGGCCGCATTTGGATATATTATAATCTCTGTGTGGATGTGTTTGTGTTTACAGTAGTGTAGCAGTGTATTGGCTGGAATAATACAATTACAGCCCGACTTTTATGGACGATATTGATTTTGGAGGGTTTAAAATTCAGATCACCAATAATATCTCATGACAGATGAAGTGTGGATGCAAATGAGTCTGATTAGCACCCAAGTCCCAAATCAAAACTCACTGAAATTAAATAGAAAACAAGCCACAGAAACATAGCGGCAAGATTCACACAGGGCAATAATGTGAAAGTGTATGGCGTCAAATCCAATTCAAAATCCGCTGCTCTCGCACGAGGAAAACTACTCTAACCCCCAACTGCTCCCCGGGTCTGCAGATAGGGCTGCCCACCGCTCCGGGCAAGCGTGCTCACTGCCCCCTAGTGTGTGTGTGTGTGTGTTAACTAGTGTGTATGTGGTGTTTCACTGCACGGATGGGTTAAATGTGGAGGTGAAATTTCCCCGTTGTGGGACTAAAAAAGGGTCACTTAATCTAATTTAAGCTCTGGTGTGTGAGTCAGACACGGGCAATGCAGAGTGTTTTATAGCAGACAATATTATATTTACAGTTTAGTGCAGTTTATTTGCTCGTCAGAGAATGAATTCCATCATGTGTAAAACTGATGAGATCTTGTACACCAATCGCTGCTGTCTCTGTTGTTAGCATGGCGACAACCAAACTGAGGGATCGGCTGTTTCCCAGCAGCTAGAGCTCACCCACCGGCCCCCAAATTAATATGGATCATTCTACTGAACTGACA